GCTCTTCAAAATGTGTAGACAGAGCTTAGTCTGGAACAGGCTTATGTGCTGGTCTGGAGATAGTAGTCACAGGCGAATCAGACTAATGATGAGTCACTGTGTGACTGTATGAACCATGAGTAGGTCAAGAGGTTCAGCCAGGGAAGAGAGGGCCCTGGAGGCCCTTCAGCAGGACTTGAGCCGGACTGTAAAAAAATGGACGAGCTTTGGAAATGTGCAGAAGAAGGAAGGCATTTCATGCAGATTTTAAACATAAGAATCTTGGGGAAGGTTGATGGTCATAGCCTATCCTGAGTGAGGTTGGCAACACCAGCTGGGGAGGGGTGTAAGAGTCCTTGAAAACATTGACAGTTTGGGGCATTTTGAGGTCATGAAAAACAACTGGGGTGTTCTGCTTTGTCCTGTTGGGAGAAAGGCAGGACATGCTGGGGAGAAAGGAAGTGTGTGGGTGGATGGTGCCACCAAAGCAGGACTATTCCAAGACTAATCTGGTTGTAACAGGAGAGAGCCTGGTGGTGTCACAATAAAGGTTGAGGCTGGGTCCCTTGCAGGAAGCAGCATGATGTGGCAAGGGTCTAACTCAGGATGGTGGTGATTGAAACCTGGGGCTCCATGACCAACTGAGGGCAAATCAGCCTGGCTACAAGCGTTTGAGCATTGTAGGAGTGGAGTCCAGGACTCTGCTGAAGCATTGCACCATCAAACTGTAATCTGAGCTCCAACACAGTGACTGCTTGCAGTTTTTGGACCTTATTGAATCCTGAATTTTGCAAACCAACTATTAAATAGTTATAACCTTTGAAAAAATCCAAATGCTAACTAAATTTGATAACATTAAGGTATTAACTTTTTAAGGGTGATAATGGCATTCTATTTTGTTTAAACTCCTCGTGTTTTAGAAATATATAATGAGGACCGGAGATGTAGCTCAGTGGTAGAGGGCATGCCTCACATGGCCAAGGTCCTGGACTTAAACCCCTGTACCACCAAAATGAAAACAAAAAACATAATGAAATATGTGCAGGTGAAATCTATCTGAATTTGTTTCAGAGTTATCCAGGGAGATGAAGCAGGACAGGTTGTGAATTCTGCACTTTCAAAACTGGGAGATACAAACTCATTTCATCCTCTCTCTACTATTGTATACATTTGAAAACTACTCTGTGTGTGTGTGTGTGTGTGTGTTACTGAAGGTTGAACCCAGGGTGCTCCACCACTGAGCTTTATTCCCCAGCCCTTTTTACTTTTTTAAAGTTCTGGATCTGGATAATGCAGGTTGCATGGCCTGGGATTTATAATCCCCACTCAGAAGTCACAAGAGCCATTTTGAATTGGGCCACGTTAATCTCTTGATACATTTCAAAACAGAAATTCTGTCCACTTCTTTTTGCCTAGAGCAGGAAAACCCATGAACTGGAAAGAAATAATCTCTTGATTTTATTTGGGTAAACAAACTGTGAGATACACATGATCTCCTTTATCATGATCATGGGATGAATCCAACCAACTGAAGAGGTGAAATCAAAATCCAAAGCAAAATCAAGTGTTTACAGTAGCTGGAAATAAATGCTGCCTTTAGAAGAGTCACTCCCAGCAGAGTGGCAGCAGAGCACTTGGCAAGAGTGTGAAAGCTGAGATTCAGTTAAAGAATTGCAGCCTGCAGTGTAGCTGCCAGCAAGGTCAGGGCTACTGTAACCACAAGTCACAATGGGCCCAACAGAGACTAGTGAGAATCAGGGGTCCAGTACAATCACCCTGGATGTTGGTTGTCCTGGCGCCCACCCTGTGGCAACTCTATTGCTCATTGCAAGCCACAAAGACAAGAGATTCGGGCTGGGATTGTGGCTCAGTGGGTAGAGTGCTTGCCTAGCACATGTGAGGCACTGGGTTTGATCCTCAGTACCACATAAAAAGTAAAAAATAAAGTTATATTTAAAAAAATACAAGAGTTTTATCTGACAGTGTCCCCAGCTGTTCAAGAAGAGGACAGAAGCCATTGCCAGGAGCTGGACGGGGGTCCTCTCAGGCTACAGGGCAGAAACCAGACTCATTTTAGGAGTGGTCCCAACTACAACCCATCCTCACACGGGTCAACTGGAAAGTTAGGAGGGTACACTGTGAACCTGCATAAGTGATCCATGTCCTCCTCTTTTCTGACAGGGAAAATATATGGGGGATTAAGGTGGGTACTTGCTTCCCCTGAAAAGGATCAAGCAGGAAAACATTCATGGAAATCCAGCTCAGTTAATATGTGAGGGCCTGCTCTGTGCCAGGCCTCATAGGAAATGCAGGTATGAATGAGACACAGCCCTTGCTTCTAAGGAGAGTGTGGGAGAGGGAGGACACACGTATCTAGATCTTCTTCATAAGTACTGTGCAGGACAAAGAAGCTGCGACCCAAGCAAGGCGACTCTGTTTCTAAGTCAAAGTCTAACTTTGGACGAATCATTTTATCTTAAATTTCCATCTATAAAATGTGGCAATTCTTATCTTCCTTATTCCACAGTTAGAGAGTTAAAAGGATGAAATAGAACAACAACAATAATAAGGACATAGATGATGAGGGAAAACAGCAGGAAGAAGCATAGAAAAGGCTCTTTAGAAGTGGTGCTCTAAGCCCTTGACAGGTGCCTGAGGATGTGCTTGCCTGTGGATAGCAGCCAGGACAGAAGCAGGTTCCTAATGCAGATGCTGTCCCCTCCCCAGCCAGCCCCAGGAGCTCCAGTGCCCTGCGCCCTCATTCCCAAAGCTGCACAGGTGCTGCCTTGGCCTGAGCAACCCTCTCAACTCGTTCTGACTCGCCTGGTGCAGAGGGTGAGGGTGCTTGGCTCTGATATTCTTGATAAACTTCAGAGCTTCTAGAACACATCGTCCAACCCTCCCATTTGTGACAAAGGCAGGGGAGGCTGCAGCAGGGAACATGACCTGCTCGCGGCTGCTCACCCAGGTGTGGGACAGCCAGTGCTGCAGGCTGCTTCTTTGGACACTCCAGGTCCAATATCGCATTGCTTCTCTTTCCAAGGAAACTTTTGTCTGGACACTGTTCTTTTTAAATCCTTAGTCTTTTCTACTCCTAAATACCTCATTTAGTCCTAACTTCTTATAAATGTAGGGCACGATTAAGAAAGATTCCTCCTTATAAGCATTTCCCAAGCTCTGTGATTGGGAGAAATGATAACTGCTCATCGGGCATGTGGTCCTGCTCATGACCTGGGTTTACAGAGAAGGAAATAAGCTGTCCTTGTTTTCCAGAAGCTCTTGTTTAGTTAGCACTAAAATGCCCTCTTGATGAAAACCTTGGACTTCCACTCTGGGAAAAGAAAGTCCTAACCCAGTTCTCTTCAGTCAAGTGTACAAGAAAAAGTCATCTCAGTGCTACATTTCTGTACTTCCTGAGTTTTCCCATTCATGCCTAGTTGGCAGCTTTTCTCTCCCTGGCTGTAGGCCCAGGCAGTGCTGTGAGCACAGGAAGGCTGATGGCCTCTCTTGGGAAGTCCTGCCATCCTGTGTCCTCTCCTGATGTTGGAGTTAGCATGATACCTCATGATGACTTCGCTCTTATGCCACTGAAGAGTTCAGTTTTGCTCCTAGCTGAGGAACTACATTGCTCTACTTCCCCCCTGGAGTGAACACTTGGTATCCTCCAGCTTCTTTCTCACCCAGTTGTTCTGTGGTTGTAGTTGAGTTACCGAGTCTGGGGTTTTGAGATCTTGAAATAAAAAACACATGAATGGATACTGGCACACACAAAAGAGAAAACTGTTGTTTGGTTTCCTGTTGAAGTGTGTTATTCTCTATGGAAGTGTGTTCCTTCCCCCTAACCTAGTTCATACCCTTTCCTGTGCCCACATTCTGATGAATGGACCCCAGATGGCTTCATTCCCAGATCTGAGAAAACCCAACAGGCACCATGGATTCTACCCTAACGAGCCATGACACGCCAATTATTTGCTTTTCTGGAGAAATCTCAGCTTGAAAATCTGTTTAATTACCATGGGAGATAATCTTTTAAACACAGATTTACATTCTTTAAAGATTTTCCCTGTGGGAGTAGGATAGTTTATCTGAACATGGAATGTTTATTTTCATTTCCAGAGAAGTGACTACTATCTGGTAGTTAGCAGGAAGCTTGAGCCCTGGAGGATTTTTGTGTTAAGTCTGTTCCTCATCACTGATAATTTGTCAATTATATTGTAATAATTAGTTTGTAGTATTGTCATGCTACTCCGGAGGAAACCCTGCACTTGGCTCCATGGTTCCAGGCCTGTACTTGACATTTTTCAAGCATCCCTGTCAGGTTGGACTCTGCACTCTAAATGGGGTATCAAGAGTCAGTGTCTTCAAGGATTTCCTATGAGGAAGGTCACACCTGTAAATCCACATCCTACCTGGACCTGTGGTCAAATACCATTTTTTCCCAAACCTGGCACAGCTCAACAGCTTCACTAAGTTTTTCCCCATTACAATGCCAGCTTGGATGAGCAGGGCTGCTCTGACGTTCAACCTGATGGCTCCAAGACCCAGAGCAGTTCCTGGCTCATAATAAATTCTCAATAAGCAGATGGTAAATTCCCGAATGCCAACAGTCTTCATGTGGAGAGAATGTGTATTGTGTCAACACAGGAACTATGTGCAAAATAAAACTGAGTTGGGGAAGCCCGAGACTCTGACGTGGGCTGCTCTAGTTCTTCATTCCTCACATCACTTTTTTTTTTTTTAAACATGGTACTGGGGATCAAACCCAGGGCCTTGTACATGATAAGCAAGCACTTTATCACAAAGCAACATCTCCAGCCTCATTCCCCATTTCATTTTAATGGCAGGTGGTCTTGAGATGTTTGCTGTATCTGATTCTGTAGGCTGAGATCTCTGGGTTTTAAACAGCTTAGCTTTGGGGATCAAGAAAAGAGCCTGGAGTAATTGTATTGAACATGGGGTAAGAAGAAGAAGAAAAATGCTTTGTGGAAAACTAAATCTTGGAGTTGAATCTCTCCTTACAGGTCCTAATGGGGAGAAGAGCTGGTCCAAGAAGTACCCATTATGTGGGGGCCTGCTGCAGTCCCCAATCGACCTGCATGGTGACATCCTCCAGTATGATGCCAGCCTTGTGCCTCTAGAGTTCCAAGGTTACAATGTGTCTGCCAATGAGCAGTTGAACCTGACCAATGATGGCCACTCAGGTGAGTGAGAGACCTTGGAGACCTGAAGGGATAGGTCTGAGCTTCCCTTGGCTCCTTGGCCTGCCCTTTTCCACCTGGCATGGAGGGACTCCACAGAGACATCCAGGAGATGGGACCTGGTAGGGGAGCCTTTGAGGTCTGCCTGGCCCACTCTCTCCAGGGGATGCTGGATTCAGGTGATTCTGACAAAAGAAGCACTTCTCTCAGGATGGGGGAGGAGACAGGCCTGAGCTTCTGGGTCCACTGGGTGTGTAGCAGGAGTGAATTTGGGGCCATTACGATCTCCTCAAGGGACATACAGTTCTATTGTAGGGGTGGGCATCCAGGCTTTAGAGTCAGACACACCTGAATTTGAACCCTGGCTTGACTATTTTTGAGCCATCAGATTCTGGGTAAGACTTAAACTTCCATGAGTTTTCATCTGGAAAATGGACATATTGATGAGTACTGAGAAGACTAGAGATTAGGTGTGTCAAGGTCTGGCATATAATAAATGCTTCACAAATAGAAATTATTGTTGTTATATAAATCTAAAGCCTGGAAGGTGCTTCACTAAACGTTCTATCTTCATAGCCAGATGTTTATATATAAAGAAACATCCATTACTGATCTAGAGTTAGTGCTTCCAGAATCACTTTCCAAGAGGAACCCTGAAGGTGCTGGAGTTGCTTTAGGGAATGGGGTGTTCTTGGGGAGGAGGCCAGTTTTCTGACCTGCAGGCTGCATCTCTCTAGTCTGCACCTTGCTGCAGCCACCCACTCCATCCAGACCTGGGGCGGGGTCACCTATCTGACTGCTCTCTGGTGCTGGGTAGGGCTCTGAAGGCTGCCCCTCCGTTCCCCAGTGAGACTGATCCTGCGCTCAGACATGCACATCCAGGGCCTCCATTCCCACCGATACAGTGCCACCCAGCTGCACCTGCACTGGGGGAACCGCAATGACCCCCGTGGCTCTGAGCACACCATCAGTGGGAAGCCCTTTGCTGCTGAGGTGAGTGAATGACCAGTATGGAAGAGGCTGCCTGGTGGTGGGCGGGCTGGTCAGGTAGGTAAGTCAGGGGATGGGCAGCAGTCAGCGCCTGTGAGCAGCACTGGAAGGTACAACTGCTCCAGCCATGCTATAGTTATTCTGTTGGTATCCTGGTTCTCCTCCTGTGAACAAGCTGAGTTTGTCTCTCTTTTCCTTAGTGATCTTGCTGAGAAGGCCGGGCTTCCAAGATGGCACAGAGGGACATACTCCTTTTCTAAATGCCTTCCTCCTTTCTGTGCAGACGAAGAGCTCATCAGCTTGCCTGGCTGATGCATCCTGCTGCTAAATCATACTGGTGCATTCCTCCTCCAAACTTCACAGTCTTCTCCACATGTCAGGCTGTTTTGAAATGTCCTCCCTATCTCATTCTTTCTCTCTCTGAACATGGATTATGCTTGAGAACATGGGGACAGGTCCAGGGCCACTCTTCTGCTTGGCTACAAATCAAGGGATGATTGACACTGTAATATAGAACATCATAGCAATCAGAGAGTCACAGAGGCTTATTTGGGATATCAGCATTTTGTTATGTCACCCTGAGATGCTAAGCCAAAAATGTCAAAGGAAAATGAGAAATAGCAGTTTTCCTGTATCACAAGTGTGCAATGGGGTGAGAAAGGGAGGGGCACTGAGCTGCTCCATTTCAGAGCTCCTGAAGCACTAAGCTGGAGCTGGGGCTCCAAGTGTTTACAGAGAATTAAATACAAGGAGATCAATGCTCCTGATCAGCCAGCGGAGCTCTTGGTAAATAACAGCAAGACCCTTCTCCTCTGCTGAACTGCTTAATGTCTCGGGCTAATTATAAGTCTGATTACAAGCATGGAGGGGATGTGATTCTGGTTGATCAGATGGCACTACTGGAGGTTCACATATTTCAGCACAGGCCCTTCCCTGAAGCTCAAGAACTGCAATTTCTTCCAGGCTAATTGCAAGGTTGAGGCTTCTACTTCCCCCATGGGGAATAAAGAAGGAGTTAGGGTGCAGGTTGTGAGGGTTTGTGCATTTAGAAATATTTCTTGTTCTTGTATTTTTTGCTATTAAGCCATACCATCAGACCAAGAGCCTGGTGAAGATGAGCCATAGATGCCAATACTAGAGAAAAGACATCAGGGTGATCTTAAATGGCTGATTCTCTAGGAGAATCTTTGAAAGCAGTGGTTCTTCTAGATGGAGACTATAAAAGGAGATTCTCAAACCCCTCAGCAGGAAAGTCCATTGGGCCTGGATTAGTGTTCGCTTCCTTCTGATTTAATCTGAACACATTTAGAAAAGTGCTCAGAGTCCAAGCTCAAAGGTAATTTGTAAAAGAAATAAAGACCCAGGGCTGGGGTTGTGGCTCAGTGGTAGAGCACTTGCCTAGCATGTGTGAGGCCTTTGGTTCCATCCTCAGCACCACATAAAAATAAATAAGTAAAATAAACATAATATATATATATATATATATATATATATATATATATATATATATATAAATATATAAATTTTTTTTTTAAAGAAAGACCCAGGTTGTTGGGGATTTAGCCACATAGAATTCCACTGTGTTTCTCAAGGCCATGCCAGGCCAACATGGCATGTGGGAAAGATGGTGAAGCAGGGAACCCCCAAGAAATCCTAAACAGGGAACTCAAAGAAGAATTGATACAGTTTTTTAAGATGAGAAAGGACCACTTAAAAAGTTCCAAATGGAGGCTGTGGATGTGGCTCAGTGGAAGAGTGCTTACCTTGTCCGTGTAAGGCCCTGAGTTCAATCCCTAGCACCACAACAAACAAACAAACAAAACCAAAAAATCAAAACAGCAATAAAGACAAAAAAATATTCCGAATGGGGGACTTTAAGCTGTATTCAATAAAATGTGCTTGAATTCTGTTTCTAAACACATACAATGGAAAATGAGATGAATGAAAAGAAAAAGAGATTAAAATCTAAATGTGTCATAGTCTCAAGGACAAAGATCAATAAAAATACATGTGCTGTGTATGCAGGACTATTTACTAGTAACAGTTTTTTGAAGCCCAGGTGACCACACCTTAAGGATTAAAAGTCAACCTAAACATTGTCAGAATTTGTCACAGCAGTGATCTTTTTTTTTTAATTAAAATTTTTTTTTATTAGAGCATCATAATTATACATAGTAATTGGGTTAATTTTAACAATGCCTAGAGCCTCACACATGCCTAGGCAAGCATTGTACTACTGAGCTACATCCCCAGCTTAGACTTAGACTTTTTAAACCCATGACTTCTCAAAAACTTACCTTTTGTATACCTTAATAATAAAAAGTAATTTCTGCTCTGGAAAAAAAAATGAGTTTAGAATTTTACTTTGTGAAGATAGATGTCTATGTATATGGAGTAACTTTGCTTCGTGGCCTCTTAAAATGTGGCTGATAAAAACCTTTATAAATGCCATGCTATGATTTTATCCACCCAACGGATAAATCTGCATGTCCTGTGCTGAATCAATTATGATTAAATTACAGCTAGAGGTTTTCCTGCTCCATCTCATTGCTTCTAGATAAGTGCAGAGAGGCCAGGGCTGAGGCTAGGCAAGCCATAGACTCCAGAATAAGTAGGAAAAATCAGAAGGGGAAGAGATTCAAGCGCTCAAGTTTCTTTATGGCCAATATAAAAACCCATTCATTTATTCATTTATGTCTATTGCACATCTGGTACTTTCCTGGTGCCTTCTCAGATACCAGGGGTCCAATGAGTGAGTAAGAAATAGTCTGCCCTAGTGGGAACTGAAGTTTGGAGAGGACTGAGGGAAAAGGGAAAAGTGGGGATATCAAGAGGGGAGGGTTGGTTGGGGGAGGGGAGGGACAGGTATCTATCCTCCCAGTTGACTTCTAGTCTCCAGTAGAAGGGAAAGCTTCCTGTGAGAGCCACTCATCCCCTGATAGGCAGCTTCTCTCCCACTGCAGCTGCACATTGTCCATTATAACTCAGACCTGTACCCCAACGTCAGCTCTGCCAGTGACAAGTCAGAAGGCCTCGCTGTCCTAGCTGTCCTCATTGAGGTAAGAAATGTTTAAAAGGTTTTCATGAAAATTGTAGCGAGGACAAGTTTGAGATTTGATGTTTTGTTCTGTGTACACCTGAGGTAATAAGCTGATCCCTTATGCTCCCCCATGTTACCTCCAGAGCATGAATAGTCCCTTTGAGTTCTTTCTTGGCCTAGAGGCAGCCCTTTCTGTGGTTGGAGAGGGGAAATGGACATGTCTTTTGTGACATTGGAAAAATAAGGCCCAGTCTCCAGCCTTGTTGCATGAGGCATGTAATTTGCTCAGCAAGGGAGAATCTGTGGGGAAGAGGGTCACTACGCTACCCTGTCAGATGCTGAGCCCCTGATTTGTCCTCCAGTATCCAAACTCCATGCTATCTATATATGGACCCCAGAGTGAATTCTTTACTCAGAAAATGGGATCGTCTTCTGATTAGCTTGCGTATTCCCTAATGAGGCAGTATTACCTCAGTTCCCAACGTGCTTACTTCTCTGACTTGGTTTTTGTGAACCTAGAACTCCCTTAAGTTCTGGGTTAGATGGACATGCTAGTTGTGGCCTCCAGGCTCATGTACAGATAATTGGATACCATGTACAGACACTCTGTACCCCATGCCATGGGACACTCAAGCCTGATGCCTTCAGTTGTAAATAGGAAATCCTTTGATATGACATGGCAGGACCATTACACTAACTCCCAACAGCCTCTGAACAATCCTAACTATCCTAGTAGGATGGATTCTCAGAGATGACCAGAGGGCAGGTGGCTACATACCATCAGCTCAGCCCTTCTGATAGCAATTGTCAATCCAGACTTAGCCTGTAGTATTCTGTCCTAGCAAAACCTGCATGGTCTCTGTTGCAGATGGGCTCCTTCAATCCATCATATGACAAGATCTTCAGTCACCTTCAACATGTAAGGTACAAAGGTAAGGGGCCCTTGGATTCTTATCCCCTTTCTGCTCGAGAAGGATATAGTCACACTGTTTAAGAAAAACAATGGAAAGGGAGGGTCCCTTCTGTGTTTACCAGGGTAAGGGCTGCAGGTTGTTTAAAAGTGTATGACAAGGCTTTTGGGTTGGATGTCCCAGAAAGGGGTGAGTTCATATTTCTAGGTGAAGTCACTCTGCTTAGCTGCATCTCTGCTGTGGGGAGTGAGGCTGACACTGTCTCCCCAACATGTCTCTCCAGGCCAACAAGTGCTCATCCCAGGTTTCAACATTGAAGAACTGCTTCCTGAGAGGCCTGCCGAGTACTACCGCTATGAAGGGTCCCTGACCACACCTCCTTGCCACCCCACTGTGCTCTGGACGGTTTTCCGAAATCCTGTGCAAATTTCCCAGGAGCAGGTAACTGCCTGAGCCAGAGTCCCCATGGTACCTTGGCCCCCACCACAAACCATATCACAATCAATGACTCTATTTCCTTGTTTAAGAGTTTCACTGGCAGCTATTCAAAACCTCTCCAAATATCACCGGTGCCTGAAAACACTGCAGAAATTATAGGCTGAGCTTCAGAGAGATGCTACAAAGTCAAGCTAGGAAAATGAATGCTTGCCTCCACAGTTCTTTAAAAAAAGAGCTGAAAGACTGCATTTGTTGATATATTCCTTAGCAGCTGGGTGGTATTCACTTCCCAGGTCAGGGAGGAGCCTGGTTCTTTTAGAAGGCAAAATAGAGATGGCATCAAGTTAAATCATTTCACAAATGGGGTGTGCGATTGCAGTAATGAGTGAGGGTTGCTGCCCTCAAGAAGCTCAGTCTACTGCAAAGTGGGGTACAAAGTCCTTAGCAACCGTCTCTAAGCCTTTCATGTTATAGTGATAGAAATGAAGGTTAGAAGCTTGCTGGATCATCCACTGGTTAATGACAAAGCCGAGCTCCAAAGTCAGGTCTTCTGGGTTTAAAGTTATAGCTCATCCCTCTCTGCCACAACTTAAAAGCATGAAAAAGAAAATTGGCTCCCCCAGGAGCTGGAGCTACATACCTGCTCACCCCCACCTCAGCTTCATGGTCCCGTACAGCCCTCATTGTTGCTCCTAATCTTCACTACCAGCTTCTGAGCTAAGAACCTAGATAAATTGGCAGCAGGTAGGCGGATGGGAGCGAGGATGGTGAATCAGGAGGTGAAATTGTGGGGAAGCAGCAGCATGCTAACCCAAAAACTACCTTGGAAATTGATTATATAATCTCTGTGGGTATGTGAAAATGCCAGGAAGTCAGTTGTCAGATGACCTAGGAACCTCTTAGCTCTCTCCTTTTATTCTTCTGTGACTACTGGAACAAGCTCCAGGCCCCTTTGCTTTAAGAGCTGGGGTTTTGGCACACACCTGTAATTTCAGCGACACAGGAGGCTGAGGCAGGAGGATTACAAGTTCAAAGCCAGCCTCAGCAACTTAGTGAGGCCCTAAACAACTTAGTGAGACCCTGTCTCAAAACAAAACTCAAAAAAGAGCTGGAGATGTGGCTCAGTGGTTAAGCACCCCTGAATTAAAAAAAAAAAAAAAAGAGTTGGGTTTCAGTTTGAGGGGAAGGGAGCCTCCGTGAGAAGCTAAGGAGCCCTCTGTCTCTCCAGCTTTCCCTCTGTGGGGACAGATTCTGGGTGTAACCAGGGCCCAGCAGCATGGCCCTTCCCTGGAGTCTCTGCAGCTGGAAAACGCCAGCACTGACCAGTATCCAGTTAACAAGACTCCTGTGGAAGCAGGAAGAAACAGTTCTCTGGCTTCCCCACTGCTTTCTAATGCCTCCTATTAAGCATCCCATGGGCTGGTTCCAGAGGCTTCTCCCAGGGGCTCTCTTTAGGGAGGCCAGACCAGGGAATATCACTCTGCCCATGGGTGTGTTTCTGCTCTTTCCCTCAGCTGCTGGCTTTGGAGACAGCTTTGTATTTCACACAACTGGATGACCCTTCACCAAGAGAAATGATCAACAACTTCCGTCGGGTCCAGAAGTTCGATGAGAGACTGGTATACATCTCCTTTCAACAAGGTGAAGGAAGCAGTGTGTGTCTGGTGATAGAGCTCTGTTTCACACCAAGTTTGTCTCTGGCACTGATGCCCTTAGGAGATTGGCTAAGAGCACTCTGGCTGCCACAGAAACTGGGGTAATAGCTCCTTGAGGTGTTGCGGGTTACTAGTTACTGACCTAGGCCAGGATCTCCAGACACATCAATCAGGTCCCTTGCTAAGTCTGGAGGTCTCCCACAGTGGGGAAAGAGAGGTTCTTGGAGACATCTCTGTTCTGAAGAATGATCCCTGCTCTTAAGACTTACAATAGGACCTTTTTTACAGATGAGACTTGTAACTTCTCTTCCTAGGCCTTCTTGGCAGCAAGGGCTGCATCCATCCTGCCCTAAGCCTAGCCAGGTGATTCCAGCACTACCAATGTCCAACAGCACTCTTTTGTAATATTGTGAGCATAACCATTTCCACGGCCACGAGCAGCTCAAGGCCTAGTGTAGCAGGGCCCACTGGGCATCAAAGCATCCTCCCCACTCAGCCTGTTTGTCTAATCTCCTTGGAGCTTACATAAGCACAGGTATATATGTTCCAAACTGAATGAAGCTTAATAGTGTGGTTTATTCCTAAGGCAAATGGGGCTCACTCTTTCTTCTAAATCTGTAACTTCCAGGTCAGCTCAGAGCTTCCTTCAACACTGCTGGAGGTTAGGGAAGGTGATAAAGGAGCAGTAATCTCTTCTGGATACAGCATTCTCTTTTCCCATTCTTCTAAGTGGAATATATAGTATTTAAGCAAACAGGGCTGCTTCCCAAGGAGGAATAAAGAGGCAGTCCCTAAGGAGTTCATTTTCTCACTCTTGATTCTTGAGCTTCTCCCAGTATGGAAATCCTTTGAGTGGTCAGAATCATGGAAGGTCTGTGGACATTCCACTTCATCTTTTATGTCACTCATGGACTGAGTATTCATATTTAAAGATGACCCCATTAACTCACTTGCCAGAGAATCCATGTCCCTCATCTCTCCTGTGCACTTTTTTTTTTGTTCCTTTCTTATGATGTGAGAACTATTGCCTCCTCAACATAGTTGTGTAGATGAAGATTGTGTTCAAGGCCCTTGTCAGAAAGCTTTAGAAAGATTCTCTTCTGAATTACCCACTCATATAGTCAGAATGATGACCTCTATTAGTTTCGTAATTAAGAACTGCCCAAAGATTCACATTCTGTGTTCTGCTCTTCAGATACTACTAGTTAACTCCACTTTCCTCTTTTCTTTGGTTTCTCAGTCTGCAAACTGAATCTGTGAACAATGGACCCTTGCTAAAAATTGAGAACCTATAATATGATAACTATCAACTTCTTTTTCTAGGAAATGACCCCAATTTCCAGGATGCTTTCCTTTGTAATCTATTCTGGATACAGCATTCTTTTTTCCCATTCTTCTAAGTGGAATATATAGTATTTAAGGTTTAAAAGTACTCCAACTCTTAAATAAATTTTAAAAAAACATAAAATTCTACTGGAGATAAGGGACTTTGCTGACATTGATTCAAGAATTCTACTCTCAGTTATGTTTTCCAAAATAGTGTATACACATCGCTGGGAATGAGGTAATAAATACTTTCCCTATAGTCAGGGGGGCTTGGTCCAAAGCCTCATCTTGTTTTCTGCCCCATGTATGATGTAGACAAATCATATCTCTTTTTCAGCCTTGGTTTCCTCAGTCACAATATGCCTCAGCCTTGGTTTCCTCAGTCACATAAGATGAAGTGATCTTTTCAGTTCTAATATGTTATGATTCTAAAAATGGACACTAACAACTGCCAATCCTAACTTTATGTTGCAGGGACAGAGTTTGAGGGCAATTACAGAGGATCGGAAGAAACCGTGCAGGAATTTGATTATGACATCTAAAAGTAACCCCCACTTGTAACAATGGACTGTGGCATTGGGAATAATTAGCCATCTTCTTAGACTGGCTCAGGTCTAAGCAGCTGCTTGTAGACTGGGCAGTGCAGGCAGGTCTGTAGCAGAGTGCTTCTGTAGTTCTCTAAGTCTAGTTGGGGTGGTTTGACAGGGCTCTAAGCAGAAGCTTGCAAACCAACTCCTAGCTTAGGACATCAAGATCAAAGCTCCAATACAGCTTTGCCACTGACCCTCTTGCATGGCTTGACCAGAAATGTTGCTTCCATAGCCAATCCTGGGCTTAGCCTTCTCCTTAGAATGAGAATCCATGGCAGTCCAAGGCAAAACTGTTCATCTGGGGGCTGATTATAGAAACTTGGCCTGAGTTCTCCTCTCCCTCTTACTTCCCAAAGCACTGATAGCAAACAGGGCTGCTTCCCAAGGAAGAATAAAGAGGCAGTCCCCAAGGAGTGAAGATCCAAACTTCATCTGCCCAGGGGTGCATGCATTCTCGAGGGCCTCTCATGCAACTTGGAGCAAGTCTCAGACTGATATTTGCTCTTTCAGGTTTATAGTGTAGTCTGTTTGTCAAAACGAACCTTGAGCAATTTGGACTTATTTGCAGACTTTTAAACCACTGAGGCAAGTTTATAATGAAGAGTCTGCTTTATCAGGGTCTTCTCTGGAAGTTAACAAGAGTTATGGGGTCAGAAAATTCTTCCAGGAGAAAAGTAGTGTAGAGGAAAACCCTAGGAGAGAAGGTGCAGAGAACTGGGCAGGATAGAACGCGGGGGGAGGGAAATCTGGGGTTTAACAAATGGAGATACTTGTGACTGAATCATTTAACTTGACCCTGCTGTTTTCCTAGATTGTGCTCAGGAAAGGAGTGCAGGACCTGCTGTCCATCTCTAAGGAGTTTATAGTCTAGCCATACCTTAGCCTAGGGTTTTTCAACCTTGGCACTATTGACATTTTAGGTGAGATAATTCTTACTGTGGGGGTGTCCTGTGTACTGTGGCATTAGCAGCATCCCTGGTCTCTATCCACTAGATGCCAGTAGCATCTCCCCATTTTATGTTGTTATTTTTTTGGCACTGTGGATTGAATTCAGGGATGCTTTACCACTGAGCCACATGCCCAATCTTTATTTTTTATTTGAGACAGAATCTTGCTTAGGAGCCTTTCTGAGTTGCTAAGGCTAGCCTTGAACTTGCAATCCTCCTGCCTCAGACTCACAAGGCACTGGAATTACAGGTGTGTGTCATGGCACCCAGCACATCTTCCCCATCTGTGATAGCCAAAAAATGTCTCTAGACATTGCCAAGTTCTCCAGGGGAAGTGGGGTAAAATGATCCAAGTATAAACCACTGCTCCAGGTGTCGTTCAGTGGCTCCTTGGCCCAAACTGTTTTTTTCCACTCATGTCATAGGATTCTAGAGTTGTATATCACATACCCCGTTCTTTATTATATTATAGCATGAAATTTTCAGTTTAGTGATGGTTACCCCCTTGCAATAATAACATTGAAGTAACTAAGGAAGAACAAGCAAATCCAAGAAAAGCCTTGTCTACCATCTTCCTTTAGAATTTGAGTGTATATCTTTCTCTCTCTCTCTCTCTCTTTTGTTACCCAGGGGTGCTTAACCACTGAACCACATCCCAGGGAGTGAACCCAGGGGAGCTTAACCACTGAACCATATCCCCAGCCCTTTATCACTTTTTTAAAAAATTTTGAGACAGAGTCTCACTAAGTTGCTTAGAGCTTCACTAAATTACTAAAGCTGGCTTTGAACTTGTGATCCTCCTGCCTCAGCCTCCCAAGTTGCTGGGATTACAGGTGTGTGCCCCACACTCAGCTGTATATCCTTTTTTTATATATATAATTGAGTAAGGCCAAGAGAAGTAGAATGAGGAGAGAACTAGTCTCTTTAAGAGAAATATACAACCCCCTTTATCAGGAATCCATAATCTCCTCATATACCTCTTCTCCCTCTCTTTTGTGTAAGATTTTCTCTCTTGTAGGTTATTTCTGACTGCCTTGGTTAAAATTCTTACTTTTTTTAACGTTTAATTTTTTGTGGTACTGGAGATTGAACCCAAGAATGTTCTACCACTGAGCTACATCCCCAGCCCTTTTTATTTTTTTGTTTTGAGATAGGGTCTTGCTAAGTTACTGAGGCTGGTCTTGAACTTGCAATCCTCCCATTTCAGACTCCCAGTCCTTGGGACTACAAGTGTATGCCACAGGGCCTGGTTAAAGGCTCACTCTAGATGGGAAGATGAAAGTCAAGCCAGGTACTTTTTCAGCTCTTAGAATGTGCCTCTTCTAAGGAAGATCTGATCTTGTCCTTGAGGAGAAGGGAATCATTCTGGGACCATTTCAGGATACATGGAAGACAGCTGCCTAAGTGAAGTCAGGAGAGATAGCAGAGGCAGGTGCCCATCCTAGGGGCCAGGGCTTAGGTCTTTGGCCCCACTTTGGTTCCTTCAGACTGACCTCATCCCAGCCAGTGACACCAACTCTGGGTTTAGATGGTAAGAGGTTGTCAAACTTAAATGCCTTTTCCTAATATGTCAGTGCAAGGGAAGCTGGAGGGAAAAAAAAGGCCAAAGGGTTTCTATAATCATATCTTTAGGGGGCCTGCTCTGAGCTTTGCATGTCACCTGCTTCAGAGCCAGAGCCAGCTGAGGTGCATCAGGACGAGAGCGCTAGACAGAGAAGGGGGAGGCCGCATGGAGCGCTGGTCTGTAGAGCAGCACGATTAGACTCTGCTTGACCCCAAGGAACTGCATAGTTTTAGAAAACCTTAAAAGGAAAGAGAAATCTTACACAGCTAAGATGGCTAATTATCTAATCTTTTGAGACTAAAATTATGTGTGGTGTTGTTGACCTTGGGCTTCTTTAAGTTTATATTTATTAATAAAACTTATTAAATGGAAGAGTACCATCAACTCTTCCAAAGCATCCAAATAGTAACCAGAGGAGTTCCTATCATCAAATTCCTAGACCTGGATTGGAGGTGCTGCTTGGTTGGGAGCAATCTGAGCAAAATGAGGGCCCAGTCCCTTCAACATGCCAAACGCTTCCTGAGCACAGCTCTGGTTGTGTACTAAGGCAGACAGAAAACCCCACTGTGCATGCCATTTTGCTTCTAACAACAAGCTTTTGGCACAGAGCAGACCGTTTTCAGGGACAACAGCTGGATAAGGGATCAGGCAGAAGTTTGGATCCCCCCTTGTTGAGGATTCCAGCTGACTTTCCCACAATGGCTCCCCGATGGAACCTGTCCTGCCCTTTCAGCCTCAGCTCCACCAAACTGTAGGGTCTCCCTTAACAGGGCAGGGGCTCTCAAGTGCACACCCTATTCCTCTTATCTGGAGCAATTCTCTCCCTGCTTCATAAGACCAAGTTCCCAGAAGTTCTCCCCATTCGGCTGGAGGTGACTTATAGTCTCCTTCAGTGCAGCCTCAACATGATTCTTCTCTATTATGACACCTGGCACATAACAGAGTAATTATTTGTTACCATTCAGTAAAAACAAGAAAGAGAGAGAGAGAGAGAGAGAGAGAGGGAGAGGAGAAAGAATACATATTATACACGAGTTGCAAGCTCCATAAGAGAGGGATGATTGATGTCTTACTCATTTTTTATTCTTGGCACTGGGCCTGGTGCTCATTATAAGCTTACTGAAAGGATATAACTGGCCTGTCTTTCCCCTTTCCTCCTCAGTGATTTACACATAAGCCTGGCCAGTTGTCAGATTTTAGTTTTAAGGCTCATTTTGCTTTGTTTTCAATTTTCCAACAGTGTTAAAATCAACCCACAGATTTGAAAGAAACTAAGGATCAGAACTTATGTCACATGTTGAAGGCCTGGGAGGAAGCTACCCAGTGATTCTCTCATGCTTTCTGCTGCTCTGACTTGATGGGACAAAACCCATCATTTCTTCAGCAAAGACTGCCTGGGCCACTAAAGATAGTCACAGGGCCAAGGGCTGGCCTTGTATCCACCCCTGCTGCTCCGGGATTTAGGCCTGTGAGAGCAATGCGGCTTTCTGTTCTGGGCCTGAATTCCTGCAATTGGGAGGGCAGAGCCCTCAGTCCCTTCCACAGTTGTGTAAAACCAATTCTCTTGTATAACCTGGTGGTGTCTTTTTGGCAGATTTCTTTGTAGAAATTATTTCTTTGCTGGGTTACACAATGTTAATAAGGATAATTCCCATTTGTCCTCTGATGGTAGCAATGCTCTGTGGTTATTGAGGACATCTTCCTTGCTTTTCTTACCAAGAATTATCTGAAAAGAACACTAGCTTTAGAGCCACTTGACTCTATGATTTATAATAGAGCACAATTATAGTGGTTTTACCATCCTAAACTGGATTTCATGTATTTAAATGATCGAACCCTTGGTAAACCTAAACTCTCCTGTCCTCTTATACAGGACTAGAGATTGCTAACCACCCATCTGTGTGTTATTACTACGCAGCATGCCACCTATATAATCAGTCTATCCTTCACAGTAATACTTTGAAAGGAAAACAAGTGTATTCCATATCAAATAGCATTGCAAATAGAGCTAGAAAATACAACAGTGTTGTTCCAGGAACCCCAAGACGTGTAAACAAGGTGTTATTCCTGGAGCTGGACTTATGTGTGTTTATACTTGAGGCTTCAGAAGACCTCAAAAGCAGTTAACCAGCATCCTCGGGCCAGCCAGATGCCAGTGGAAGACGAAGCTGCCAAGCCAGCCAGAACAGGTAGTGAGGCCCTGGTGGCAAGCAGCCCCTGATCCTCTCCAGGTGTCTGCACCTTCCTGGATGAGGTGTGCGATGATCCAGTTCTGTATTCATGTGATTTCCTTTTGTGTGTCGCACTGCCCTATCTTGGCTCACCTTCACTCATTCACGTGAGTTGGCCAGCAGGTAGCTCTCCACCTTCGCACAGCAGTCTCCTCCTACCGCCAGCTCAGGAGCCCTGCCATTGAGTTCTTATCCAGTGGCTCTCTCAGGCCACCTCTGTGAACCAGCTGTCTCTATTTCTCCCATCTGTCTCATTGTTCTTCAGGGGAACTGCCTGTTTTAGTCCCCATTTAGAAACATATCACTTCTTTGTTTATTTGAACAAAACTGTCTGACTTTGCCTGTTCTCTACAGCATCCCAGAGACTGGGCTACACCTGAGTCTTTGCTATAAACAGGCTTTGGCTTCTCTCTCTTGGCTCTAGTTCTCTAATTGCCCTGACAGTTCTCCCTGTGCTCTGGAAGTCCCATGAATTTTCCCTCTCTAGTTAGTAAATGCTTTGGCTCTACCTCTACCTGGACCCGAGTCCACAGAGTCCCACTTCCTTGATGGTTGGTGCTGCCTCAATGGGCAAGGGCCACAGTCCAGACAAATCTTGCCCGAGGCTTCATGAGGAGGTGGAACTCTTAGGTCATACCTTCAGGGGCAATCCTTCTCCTTAACAGTTTGGTTCATTGCTTGATTGAGCTGCTTTGTTTTGGCTGCCTTTGAAAAGGCACCTGTCCCAATCTCTGGGGCTTTCCTTGTCTTCATGGCTGTTTATTCTCATTGAATTGTTTTTAAGGAGAGGCAATTTAGTCCCTGACAAGTGGTCATCCAGGAACAAAGAGCTCAGATTAGAGCACCTGATCAAATTATACTGGTGTTTCTAGAGCCTAATTCAATCAAAAGCACTGCACAGTGAATGGAGAGAAAGCCAGACTCTGTCCCCAAAGAAGCTACCAACTGGGATCATGTGTTCTGGAGAAAAGTCCCATCCAGGGGCCTTGTTCTCCATTGACCTTGTTCGGCAAACTAAGGCCACAGGATGAAGGCACCTCCTCTAGGCATGGATTGGGACTGCTCAGCTGTTTGAAGGCCTGTGTGGCTCTCAGGATGTTTGAGGTGACTGGGAAAGAGACGACTTTAGAAACAGTTCATTTTGGACAGACTGGCCAAGTGGTCAGGCTCACTAGTAATAGTCTTTATGTGGCAAGAGCTGGGTGGGCACCACAAAATTCTGGAGCTTTAGAAACAAGGAAAAAAGTGAATTTCATTGAAGGGCTTGTAAAAGAAACCACGGCCAGTTTTTCTTTTTTTCCTTAAGACCCCAAGGATCAAGGTCTCTGGTTACTTTTAAACAAACAAGCAAGTACTACCTCCCCGCCAAAAAAAAAAAAAAAAAAAAAAACCAACATACCCAAATACCAAGTTGCACTGTGCAGTGGCCATGGGCCAGGCAGGGGACAGAGCCTGTGATGTATAAACACCTACATCATAGAGGCTCCTGCCCCAAGCACCTCCGAAGCCACAGACTGTTTCTCGTGTTCAGGTTACAGGAAGAGGCCTAGGTAGGGAATCTGCCCATGGAGCCCTTCTCTCTGCCACTTGGGTGGCCATGAGCTGGTCATGGTAGCCTAGGAGCAGGGAGAACAGGACACTCTGTCCTTGGGAATAGCTCCCTGCATGCCTGCTCTGCTTACCCTAATAGCAGTCCAGGGCCACCTGAGAAAGCCAGATCAAGGACACACAGGGGCCAGCCTCACATTAGGGAGGCTTTACAGGCTCCATGTGAGATAGCAGGATAGTAGGGAAGGGGCATAGGTTGCTGGACCTTGGGGGATCAGCTAGACTCTGGCCAGAGGACAGGAGAAGGAAGGAGTAAAACCTCCACCTGCAGCATCAAGTCTGGTTCCCCAGGGTGTCAAATGCCCCAGAAGCATATTCCTGGTCCTCTGTTAGCATCTCACATTGGACAGGACTGTCCTGAGGTTTCAGTGGCCATGGTGAACTTCATGGGAACAGGCTCTTCTGTGTGTCAGGCTGGGTGGCCACCATCTGCTTCCAGTGTGAGTTAGAACCAACACTCCTCCGCCAAACAGATACACACAAGTATCTGTTGAGATCAGACCACCACCAGAGAAGAGGGTTTATGTAAACAGAGACTCTTTAGATGGAGAACCTGATTGGGAGAAAGGGGAAGAGTTGTTAAGAACTTGGAAGCATCAGGCTGGGGGTGGCCAGAGAAGATGTCATAACTGGGTTCCTCTGCTCACTCAAGAAGGTAGATTTACATGAGACCCCCCTGGGAGGTCCCCAGTAGGCCAACTGTGGGATTTTACCTTAGATGTCTGGGCACTAATTCAGACTCACTGAGGATTCCTACCTAACCCACCCCTTCTGTCCCCAGTAGTGACTTACTAGACCATAGTCCCCTGGTTGTGTGTAGAAGAGAAGGGAGGCAGGTATGGTAGAGGAGTTTGTCTAGTAGTACCAAACAAAACCAGAACCAAATCATGATAATAGAGTGAGTGGGGTGGGGGAGAAGGCTGGTGGCAGATTCCTGAGGAAAATGAGCAGGTACCATAGTAGACAACAGCCTGCCACTGAGGCTGATTCTCAGCCTTCCTCCTCTTCCCTCTTTGGCCACACTGTATTAAAAACTAGTCTTTCTCGAGCAAAGAAACTGTTGTGGTAAAGGATCATGGGAAGGAAGAATAACAGTATGAATCTCTAGGTAGGCATTCCCTCTGCTCCCTCAGATAGTCACCTGAGCCAAGGGTGACCACCCCTAGAAGGGTTGCAGAAGCCCTGCCTCACCAACCAAACAAAAGTTGAGTTTCTGTCAACACCTATCAGACCCAGCAGAGTTGGACTCTAATATTCTAATCTTTTCCTCCCCCTTTTAATTGGAAATCCTGTCGACCCAGGACTAAGTGTGGGTATGTGGCTGACCGGCCGTGCATGCTGCAGCTGGGTGACCCCTGTGATTCTCAGTGTGATCTGGGCCTGTGATATTTCCAGCTCTGTTTCTCTGTGCTGTTGCTCTGGCTCTGGACCCCTCCTCACTGAGTCTCATCTTCAAATCACTCTCTAATTCAAAAATGAACTGCCAATCATGTTCTTCTAATGAAAAACCTAATCATTCTACAGCATGTGTACAAAGGATCTACTTACGACCTTCATGGGAGGGAATGGTGGGAGGGCATTGCCTGAAAACAAATGTAAGCCCAATGTGGAGGTCAGATGACTGTCCATGTGACCTTGGCAATGGGCTTGATTGTTTGGGACCCCAAAGGAACTTGGGGATAAAACTGATTGATAGACATTCCAATGGGCCTCAACTCCACGAAGCAAAGATGGAGTGAGTTCTTATTCTGTGGTCCAGGGTTTCTCAAAGTGTGGTTCATGTACCATGTGCATCAGAATCAGCTGGAGGTGCTTGGTAAAATGCAGATTCCTAGGCCCCACACCAAATAAATTATATCTGGGTCTCTGAGAGTTGGGGGCTTTTGTTTGTTTGTTTTTGTTTTTTGTTTTTTAAATCTACATTTTGAACAAGCTTTCCAGATGATTCTTGTGCAGGTTTGAGAAACCCTGCTGGAAACCACTACATTGCAAATGGCTCCCTTTAAGTACTCCAGCCAGTCCCACTGAGCCACAGACCAAAATCTGAGGCCAGAGATGGGGAAGTTTTGTCTTTCTGAGAATGATTATGCAGCTGGGACATGATTACACTCATCTACTGTGGGATGAAATAAAGGGGAGGGAGGGATGTAACTTGTTGTCCACTGCCTCTTCACCAGGC